CACATTTTACTAAACGATTTATTGAAGCCATTCTGGACACCCTCCAACATTATCAAACCCGCATACGTTGTGGATGTCTGTATAATAAAAGATCCAAAGTTTTTTTGCTTTTTAGGCATTGTAATAAATATGAAAAAAAAAATGAAGATGTTCTATCCCATGTACTGCTCTCGCTCGTCACATCACATCGATCTTATGAGATGTCTGGCAAAAGTTTGAATTATGTTCATATGAAAAATAAACAATTTCCACCGTTTCAATAGCTGCTTTTGAAGGTGATTTGGATATACTTGATTAGCAGCGTACGGTGGAGAGCTCCAAGTGTTGTCATTTGTTGCTGTTGTCCTGATCTTGCGCTTTTTTCCTTGTTTGGGGTTCTCGTCGGGCGACTCTTCTTCCTTGCTTGATTGCAAGGATATCTTAAGAAAGTTTGCGCTCGTCAGAGGTCGCTTCGTTGACGAAAGCCACGAGTTTTGTAGTATCGGGGGAGTAGATGAGGTCGCGGCAGGGTCGGTCACAATGGGTAACCACAATTTCTGAGACCATGCCACGACTTTTCCGTTTTAAGTTCGTGGGTTGGGGAGCTGAGGAACCTCCTTTTGCTTGAACCCTTTTTTGGTGGTGGTTTTGGCGGTGGTTTTGGCGGTGGCGGTGATGGTGATGGTGATGTTAGCATTGAGGGGAGAGATTATGTGTTTACGATTTGGATTTTCAAATAAGCAAAATATTGCAATATTGCAATGGTTAAAGAATTTGTCTTTAAATATGTTTATGGTTGTCAGTATTTGAACCGCATGAAACATGCAATCTCATGTTTGTATTGAATGAAGCTATTATCTACGAAAACGGATCTGAAGCTTGACTACGAGCATACCAATACCCAAGGCAAATCCGTCCCGAGTGAGAAATGATTACGCCGACCATAAAATACAGCGCGCGAAAACGTTTTTGGAATCAAATGCATAAACTTTATTTCCTTCCAAAATACGCGTCTAATCAAAACAGTCAACTAATACGTTTTGTGCGTTCTATTCTTATTATTTGTGTCATTTGTTTACTTTGTTATTAAAAATACAACGACAGGGTTTTGATTGACCGACGTCGCAAGATCATAACCACTCTATGGGCAAAATGGTACTCAAGATGCCTACACTTTACATAAATTAACTATTATTTTGCCATGATATTAAGAAAAAGTTTTTGGGAAGAGCTAACCGGTTATTTTTTACAAACTAAATGATTTCACAAATCGGACGTTTAGTTTGACATTCAGTATTAAAGTTTCATCATCCGAGTGACTTCTGGAACTCGCCGATTTTTTTACTTGCGGGAGTAAAAAAATCCATTCAGGCTAAAAATGCTTTCTCGTATTGCCTCATTAGAAAACTGTGATACGTTCACAGGCATTTATTTGCTTCTCGTAGTGTGTGCATATTATGCAAGCGTAATGTAATGGGCGCTGTGCATTGTATGAGGCTAGAGTCCAGCGCATTGTAACGTCAGCATTGATTTTCGTGCCTTTGGGTGCGCAGTCTTTGGAGAATCGAGAAGGTGAACGGCTTTACTAATCATTTGCTTATTAAAAGGGCCATTGGATATAAATATGGCACACGATACCACCGATCCAATTCACTTTGTGAAACTCACATCATTGTTGAGTGGTTGTTTGTATCGCTTGATGTTTACTGATGCGATCTCCATTCCCCATACCATTAACTTCCGTTCGCGTACCAATGATAGTTGTTAAGCATTTGTTCTATATAAAAGGCAATTTCTTTATAACAAGATGTTGTACAAAATAGACTTTTTTGGGAGTGTGAGAATAACTTGTACCTAGAGCTACAAAGTTAAACATAACAAAGAAACGTTGATATCCCAGATAATAGGAAATTGGACGGTGCCTTAATAACGTCGGAAGAGTAAAATATAAAGGCAATCATTGTTTTTATTGCAACACAAAAATTTTGTCTATAAGATTTATTGCGCGCCATATAAATAGTAATGTAAATTTATTATGCATAAATGAAGGCAAAGGGTTTAACTGTGTAAACGTTGCAAGAAAATGTCTAAATAAACAAATCCATAAATCACATCTCCATCTCATCCCCATGTCCATTCCTGGCAGTCATGCCCAAGCATCCGGGACAATTATGTAATACTTCATGTATGAAAACATCACAGTCGACACAAAAATGCTGCAAGCATTTGGGACACGAGTATCGTCCTGAAGATGCATCAGCCGGGATTTGGACTGAACGAGAGGATATTGGTGGAGGAGGCTTTTCATACGGAATCTGGCAAGCATAACATTCTGTGCTTACCATGCTAGAGAAATTATCAGAAAACGCTCGTGGGCATTATGGATAATAAAATAATATAAACCTCGTTTCTCTTGGATATTCGACTCACCTGTTCCATGGCACCTCCACGAAATTCTCAACAGGAAACAAATGATGATATGACCTTGCCAAGTGTGGACTTGAAATCAACATCAACCCACATACGTCACACTCGGTTGGCAAATCACAAATCTTGCTTGTACATCTTGGACATATATACCCCCCCAGAACCGGCTTCTGATGACAGGCACAGAATGAAGGTGTAAGAGATGAGACGCGTGTTGGAAACCCCATAACAACCAACTCGGATTTATGAGAGGAAGACGTTATTGGTGGAGGTGGTATTAGATCAAACAAGAGGTCTTTGTAGTGAGGTTCGTTTAGAACCACTCTGTAGGTGCCTTTTTTAGGTGATAAACCCATATGAATTAGCCAATATAAAGTTGGACATTTTCACCATTCGCTCAACTTGCCTTTTGTCTCTTTTGCCATGTATCGACAGATCTGTACCTCAGCTGCCAGTCCGACAACCGATACACGTATCGAATCTTTTTGCAATTGAGATATAGTATCGTATATGTTACCTGGATCACAGGTGGTAAGAGAACCAAATATTATCAGCACTTCACGAGAGCCATGGCCCGGGACATGACTGAACAAGGAAAAGTGGTACAAAAAAAGTAAGAATAGTCATTAGCAAAGGGGATATCGATTAACGTAAAATATACTACTTACTACTTGATCTTCAAGTCTTACACAGTTCACGGACAGAAACATACATCAATGAAGTCCTTGCCATTTCAAGTGCGTTCTGTAATGATGGCTCGCCTTCCGGTTCGGTATTCTTTTTACTTTTAAGAGCGCGAATGTGATCCATTGGGTTTCCTGTTGTTCAAATGGAATAAGATGAGCACTGGATGCAAGCTTCAACGGCAAAGTATTTCTACCCTCTCCAAGTTATTTGAAAACTTTCCCAATTGTCAGCGATATCTCGCTCCCTCACGTTCTTTCTCTACATACTCCATACCCGAGAGCTCAGTCAATTTCTCCGATAATCCGTCTCTCGTGGTAACAATTCCCAACTGACTTATGGGATTCTGATCGAAATACTCCACAATGAATTGGTCCATGTATGATAACGTCAATTCAAGACGAGATGGACGAAGATCTTTCTCAAGCATTGATTCAGAGAGGTCTAGAACGAGAATCATATGTCGTATTATACCACGCCGGATTGTGGATGTATCGCGGAGGAGTCTAGGTATGAGAGAGAGGAGAAGCGGGAGAAGGAGATAGCAGAGGACGACCGAGTCAGTGAAGGAGAGCAAAGATTGAATTCAAGGTAGAGAAATTGTTGTGTGATTCAATGAAGCATACTGAGAGAACAATGAGTCGTCAATTGTTATTTACGATCAAGGCTGGTAATCGTGAATTGATAAGCTTTATTGAATTGGCCATTCACCTATAGATCTCTAACCAAACCTTTTTTTTTAAAGGGGGTGGGGGTTGGGTCTACCATTCATGATCTATCTCCCATCTCGCCATCTCTAACTATTCTGTCATTCCCCACCTCTTTCTCTTCATACGATTTTGCAGATCTTCCACAATCCGTCTCAAACTCCCATCTTCGTCCTCCTGCAGTACATCCCAACTACGCTTATATTCTTCTTCCCAGGCGTACGCTGGTTGTTGCTGTTCCGCCTGAGCTTCGTCATCAATGTCTATATACTCTTCCTTGTTGTTGTCGTCATTGTTGGTAGCCGACATGTTTAATAAATGATAGAGTATAGGAACGTGAGAAGACAGAAGGAGGGGAAGGTGGAGAGTTAGAGGTTGGTTTGAAAAAGCAACACAATAGGAGTCCGAAGAGAAGAGAAGATAGAAGAGCGCGTTGTAAATATTTTAGCAATTGTTTGCGTCACAGACTAAAGCCATTTATGGTATTCCTAGTAATAGAGGAATTGAATGTCATAAACGTGGCCAAAAGAATTCAGGGGATCGAAACGCCACAGATTATATTTTCAGGGAAGAGCTTGTTTATTATAATTAGTGTTTGGACAATTAAAAGCGCTGACGTTATCTTAATCTTTGTCTTTCGATTGATAAATGGGCCGTTTCAAGTTTATATGAACATTAATATTTATATCTCATGATTCCATAAATGCTTGTTAGTACAGAACAATAGAATTATCCATTATAGAGCAAACATACTTGTCACAAATTAACGCGACAAAAAAAGAATCGGAGGGGAAAGAATAGTGGTAAAGATAGAGAAATTTGCACCCACGCGAAGAATAAGAAGTTTATAATATTATATAGTAATATTAATATTGGACCGTATCATGAATTATTATTATAATGACTAAAGCATAAACATGGCTGGGTTTGAGTGTTATTTTCTAGCAGATCTTCAAGAACAAAGAGTAAGCATTGTCAGCGTGCTTAGTAAAATGGTATTATCGTTTTTATACAGAAGACTAATACAGGAAGCTTGTATTAGATGAACATATTGTTGTATATTGCGACACTTAAATGCATAGACCAGAGCAATCAATTAACAGAGTTGAGACTGATAACTCATCCGTAAGCGTCTTTATTCTTGGAGGCGTGTCAGATGGCTCATCGGGATGAAAAGAAACGAATCGCTATGTAGAAAGTTAACTTAATCCAACTATGGTTTCTGTGACACCTGTACAGATGACGAGAATACTAATCTTACAGCGCAGACACAAAGCAATAAACTTATACAAATCACGTAATATCGACTTATATTTCCCAGGTAAAAATGAATTTGAATATTCGTAGAAAAACGTGACACTCTTGATAGCGACGAACATTATCATTATTATTCAGCACTGTCAATCATTATTACCAAGTTTTTGCAACTAGAGTCGGACAATACTTCTGTATTTCAGAGAATTGATGCTTTTATTAACCGCAAATAAAATACAAGATGTGCGTTGGACAATTCCAATTAAACGACATAACGTTCATTCTGTCTCAGTATTTAACGCAGTTCTCGTGTACAGCTCGCACAGGTATGACCAATCGTTTGACAGCCAATCCATTGCTAGTTTTATACACTATTTCGTCTTTGTTGACCGCGCGCATCATCAGTATTAGTATGGGGCATACACCCCCATCAGTTCCACAAATTAGGGTGTCTTATCGTTTTTTCAGTAACACGGATCTTTACTATGAATCTCGATCTGACAACGCACTAAAATCATATGGTATTAGACTTCTTACTTTATATTCACACATTCCCTTTTATGGCCCCAAAATAGTTGGGTTGGAGAATGCAAAATGTCCCTCGACCAGAAATACAGTAATATAAATGTGGCTTTTTCTTGCACGTGTCTCAAAATCATATTCATTTGTCATTATGTAGTACTTGACACAGCATTACTTGATATTTAATATTTTCAAAACCGAGACCCCACCCTACTACTACCTTCCTTTGTTTACAGCCTTCCGTTTGAGTGGCTTTTTCGATTAACACAGCCCGCAACTTAATATTCCTTTTTGGACACTCCCTCCACTACTTTTCCTCTCATAGTCCGGCGAATTATACTCGATATTCGATAGAGAATATACTGGACAAAACATTCTACAATGGCAGAGAAAGACTGTGCATTGCTCGACCACTTTGCAATTCTGATTCAACTATTACTTGGGGCGATTGCCTTTAGCACACTAATTTTAAAACGGCAGTTAGAGAGACCACGAAGACCAGTGCGCATATGGTGAGTGTAGAGAAGGAATCGAGTTCGGATGAGTATGGAATGGAAAGTCTGCAAGCTTGTGTTGACCTCTTGATCTACTTTATAGGGCATTCGATGTAAGCAAACAGGTAGTTGGAGCATTACTGATACATAGCCTCAACGTTCTTGCCTCGCTTATTGCCGGTTCTGTGAGTAAGGATACTAATCCTTGTATTTGGTAGGCATTTTATTCTATTCATTTGCCCGAACTTGTTAATTATTGTGCCGATTGATGAACCCCCAAACTTGTACTTTTATTTTTATTAGGTATTTCCTTAATATCTTTGTAGACTGTACATTGGGTGTATTTATACTATTTCTCGTATTGAAAGCAATAAATACTTTATTGGCTAAAATGGGTGTCAGAGGTAAATATATATGTCCATTTTCCATCCACTCTAACCTAAATTATTATCTCTTACCAATTTTTGCCATTGTTTTTTCAAATCAGGAATAAAGTCTGGTGAATACGGTAATCCACCTCGCTGGACATGGTGGATCAAGCAGACATTATCTTTTGTCTTTTGTCTTGCCCTTATGAAAGTCATCGTACTTCTTCTTTTCCGTCTCTGCCCCTTCCTTTTTGATTTTGGAGAATGGATTCTTGGCTGGTCGCTACATGATACTCGTCTTCAAGTCGTTTTCGTTATGCTCATCTTCCCTCTTATCATGAATATTGTTCAATTTTGGCTTGTCGACCAAGTGATAAAGAAGCGATTTGAGGGTGTGAAATTGGATGATTCAGATGGGTATGGGAACGAGGACGATGCATTCTTGGGACGCAAAAGTATAGAAAGCGACGAATCGGCGAGGAAGAGAAGCACTTCAGTGAGTGAAAATCAGGTGCATGTTGCTATGGAGGCATTGAGAAGCAATAACAGTGAGGATGGTATGGGTGAGGTTGAGTTAAAGGCGGCGGATAGTGGACGAGATAGTGATGAGAACAAAGCATAAAGTAAAGGATTAGCTGAGAGCGCATGTACTGTATGCTGGGTTTGTTATCACGTGATCAAAATCCCTTCGGATTTTGTCTCTTTTGTATCATATGTTAGATGTTATCAAATCCCAGTATATACAGGCAAGGATATTGCATGGATATTTCAAATAATAATACACTTTTTTTTGTCTGCACAAATCATTAGCTCGGTTATAGTTGCATGTAAAGACTTCTAATCAACTTTTAAAGATAATATTTAAGAATGGATAATTTGATAAATGTATTGACAAGAATCGACTAGTTGAAATGTTTATAGGCTGTTTGCATACTGCCATCGAGTCAATAAATAAACATTACCATCTATGACATTGATGGTCATACTGTATTACGCGTATTCTCTATTATCGGTGAAACGAATTCACGTCAGATCTATCTAGCAAAGGGAAAAGACTTTTCTTCCACGATAACAAATTCTGCCAAAATAGAATAACCAACGACATTGATACTGATATTATAAGTAAAAGCAACATTAGACTTCCATCACGCGACTAGGGAATTGGGTTGATTTGGTATTCAATTAAGGCGAAATTTGCCAAAAGGAAAAATAACCGATATCGAGTCTCGATCAAAAGATTGAATTCTCGAAATGGAGAATTCTGTTAAAAGAGTAGTTTTGGCAAGATTAAGTATGGCTTCGTTGAACTTGGTACGTATCACTAACACGTCACTAACACGTCACTAACACGTCACTAACACTCCAAGACTAAATAAAATTCCATGGCAACAAAGCAGTTTTCTGAACGCCTATTCCATAAAGGCTTGTTACTACAATGACAATATACTTTATTCCAATTCAAATCTCGCGTTTTGAGGACGTTGGTCGCACAACAGGACATTCGCGTAAAAATTGCGAATTTATATCAATAATGCTGGTTTGACTATTCGTAGTAAACCTGATTTTTTTTAAGACTCAACATTTTAAATAACGCGTTTGTTTTCTTGGCTAATGTCCGGAGATACACTTGATCCAAACGTTCTTTTCCATGTGGCAAATTTTTTGCTTTAATTTTCGTCATTCCAACTTCTAATCGAAAAAGGTTAGTAATATGCATAACTGTATTGTAAAAAAAAAAGATATTACAGTCAAGAAATCAATAGCGTGACACTTTAATTATAGTCGAACCCAACACAATTATAGTCATATTATCAATAGTGTGAGACTTTATTTCCAAGCTACACATACGTGCTACAGCTAGTTTTAACATCAGCTACCTAATATTACATGGGATAGTTGAGTGGTGAAATAAAGAATATAAGTTAGCGAGATGGGAGAGTAAAAGATTATTTACATGTTGAAAAATGTGGAGGGGAGTTCAAAGGAGGGGGAAATGTAATTATAGCCACATTTGACTGCATGAGCTAAAATGGTTGACACTAATATATATAAAGATGTTTTGGGAAGGCTTGTGACACAACTGTGATTTAGGCGCAACTCATGAACTAATTTTTAGTTGCATTTTAATATAGGATTATCTCTATATAAAAATATATAAGCATGGAACAAAAGAATTACAGCACTATCAGAAGTATTTTAAAGGAGAAAAAATTGCGCCCTATGTTTTTAAAATGAATGATACCAAAATCCTTGAGGGGTATCTAGATAAGGAAAAAATCACTTATGAGATTTACCAAGAAGAAAGAAAGTAAGAACCAATTAAACAAACCTTAATGCCCACTATGGTGAACCAAGAAAGAAACGAAAACGTAGTAGTAAAGGAAAGCAATTTACCGTAGAAGCTTCCCACCAAGGCTCCCTGACGAGTAACCTATCAATAAAAGGGTCGTTTAAAAGACTGCTTGAGCACATTCAGTCAAATAACGTAACAATAACTTGAATTTTCAGATATAATTTTAATATCTTTATTATAGAATGTGATCGCTCTTGAAAATATAAAAGCTTACATGGGAGGAAATATTGTAGATATAGAAAGAAGTTGTAAAGGACAGGGCAACAATATTATTCTCTAACAAAACTAATTCTTCAATAATTTCCGTATATGATTGTTGTAATGTAATTTTATATTTATAAAATAAACAATTTAAACCCATCTGAGTGGTTTACATTTTCTTCTCTTTGTCAATCCAACATTTTTTCCGTGTCAATATACGCGAGTTCGTTATGCTTCTTTTTAAATAGCACCTGTATCATGAGGTCGGGTCTTTCTCCGCTTGACCCACCGAGTCTGTGTTTCTTGCTTGCCGCGCTCTGCTTTTCACCTCCACCACCTTCACGTCGAATTCGACGGGGAGTCGGTGTAAACAAGCTTCGATTAGATGCGCCATAGCTTCAACAAGGGCTGGGGTTGTTCTTTGAAGATAAAAATTTCTTATTGTAAAGCATAATTGCGAAATTTGTTCTCACACGCATCGATGCAAAGTTTGATTTTGTCACTTTGAGCAACATTCACTATTAAAACGACGACGACTAATTTTCGTACTTGGCTGAAATTCGGAGTTGGATAGTTGCTAATAACGCTTGTTTTGCTTGATAAAAAGAAGCAACGGAAGATAATAGTAAAATGCTTTGCTCTCACTTATGAATTTCAAGCGCCATTTTGTTAAATAAAAATTTTGAATCCAATTTAATTCTTTTGTCGTATAATCGTATTAGGTCTTCCACAACGTTTCGATTTCTGGCGAGAGATTCTGTTCGCCGCCCACAGTTTTGTTATGGATTGTAACTTCAACGTTTGAATAAGGCTCCCGTATTATTAAGCCGATTATTGCAAATTATGCCATTTAGCAATAGGCCGAGAATGAAGCCAATTAATACTCCAAAAAGAATTCGCTTGTGAATGTAAGCATTTTGTAGAGTTATTGGCGGAAGGACGGTTTGTTGCGTCGTCATCGTGTTATAGGACGGTTTGTAGTAGAATAGTTGGTTGCGTCGTAGTATAGTATTATAGGACGGTGAGTTGACAGATTTGTTTTATTACTTCAAATGACGTTGCGGTTGATTTTTGAAGTAAATGTACCAGCGATGTTGTTATAATAAAATCTCCATTTGTTCTGATCAGTGGCTTAATCAACGACGTATTATTAGGAACTTTCTAGATCTTTTTAGAGTGTCTGTATATTAGATCACATCACGCAGCTGCATCTTCCCGTCAAACTTACGAACAGAAATAATGAATAACTTTGAAGACTTCCTCCGATTTCTAGAAGAGAACAGTCTTGCAGCTGTAAAGGAAAAGGTCGGTAATAAGACATGGGAATATGTTGTTGGGCGGACGATAAAGAAGGCTGGGAGCATCACGCACAGATGCCAAAAGCATTGTCCTCAAGAGACAGCCAGGTTCTTCTCTCGGGGAGCAATAGGTGCAAATATGTATTATAAATATTCTCGCAATTCCGCATTTATCGCCTGCACGTTTGCATATTCTGTTTTGGAAGAATCCCTCTGGGAGGGAAGAGAGTGTGTGTCTGATCCCTAATTTTGTAGGAGCCATTGTTTAGGCGGAGATGGGAAAAACTTGGTAAATCACGTGATAGTGTAAACCGTACACAAATTCCTTCAATTTTAACTGGTGGATCAGTCATTAATATTAAACAGCAATCAACAATCAAATAGAATAGTTTAAGCTTAAATAGTTCTGTATTATTATTATCAGGAATACAAGATTACAACGTCGATAAGAAAAAAGCAAGTTGATTCTCTAAGACAAGCTAGTCTGCAGGGTTATTTTACTATTACAGTGTAATTATTAATAAAAGGCTTATTCACGTGATTCTCGATTAGACTTATCGAGACTGACTGTATATAGATCCCAATGAGGAAATAGCTCTATGTTGCGGGCTAATGTTCTACCAACCCACGGGGTATCACTCTAATCCTCAGAGCTTATGGAAGGATCTTGCACGGGAAGGATTTCAAATTCCATTCGAGAAAGTGCGTTATGGTAAAATTTCACGTCCACAGTGTGTACGTCAGTGTGATCTGTTGCGTCTTCCCAATGATAAAGTGCATAAAAAGATATTCAAATGGGTTCTTAACGTACCTTTGACGTCAAAAAACAGTTCGAAAGTTGCAAAGGAATTTAGGAACATCTATGACGACCCAAATATTCCTCTTACCTGGTCCTAGTTATTACAATGTGATGGATGTAGAGAGTTTATAGGCGAAACTTCCAGATTAATGCGAGACCATAATGTTACAATTCGGGTAATTTGCCTCTATAGTTGTCGAGGACTAGCAATTGTAGAACGATTAATAAGACGCGCAAATTATATATAAAATCCAATATGCAGTTGAATCTCTATATTAATAAGAGCATGGGTTAAGTGCCAAAAGTTATCGATTATTTGAATAATTATCCAACACGTCTCACTAGAGCTCCGGAATCTTCAAGATGGGGTTTAGCCCCAGCAACAGCTGTAACATTAGAGCGGGTGGAATCTAGGCATCTACAAAATATAAGCGTCCAGTTGGAAATAATGGAATAGCGTTAAATAAAGGTGACACAGTTTGATATTTACTCGCTAATGCCGAATGGGAAGGTGGCATGGAAAATCAGAAACGTGCAACTGATCCAGTATGGACTCCGACTTTATCTCTGAGAAAAAACCGGTTTTATATTGTTTAGACGGAGAATATGCTCCATCGCGTGGATTTGTTGGAGAAGAGCTCATGCATGTCGACCCAGATAAGATCCAATAACGCATATTGTCGGAAAATTGGCCCAACCGATTAGTTTATACAACGCGAGTTTCTGAAAAATTAACCAAGGCGGAGGAATATGCTAAAAGACGTGGAGGGAATGTCTTGGCAAAACCCGGTAAAATAAATGGCTACGATGTTTTCCTTTGGACCTGCAAAAATGGCGCACATCAATGGGAATAAATTAATTACGAAAAAGTTTGAATGGTGTCCAATTTTACCGACGAGCGACGTTATAGATATATTTTCGAAGATTTATTAGGCAAAAAATACCCGTCATATTCTTGGAAGGGTTCGTTT